TGTATGGGACATTCATTTATGCCAAAGCAAATGATGAAGACTGTAGTGGTGCCAATTGTCAAAAATAAAACCGGGGACATTAGTGATAAGAATAATTACAGACCGGTTTCATTGGCTACTATTATCTCGAAGGTGCTTGACGGTTTGCTTGACACTCAGCTGGACAATTTCATCCATTTACACGACAATCAGTTTGGTTTCAAATCCGGTCTGTCCACGGAGGCTGCGATACTGTGTCTAAAGCAAACTGTGAAGTATTATACTGATAGAAGTACGCCTGTCTTTGCCTGCTTTCTGGATCTATCGAAGGCATTCGATCTGGTATCATATGATCTGCTGTGGCATAAAATGCAGCAGGTTTCAGTGCCGGACGGAATTATTCGGATTTTTCGGTACTGGTACAACAACCAAGTTAATGTTGTTCGGTGGTCGGGGGCGTACTCGGCTCCGTACAGGTTGGAGTGTGGCGTTAGGCAGGGAGGACTGACCTCTCCGAGGCTCTTTAACCTGTATGTGAATGCGCTGATAGAGGAGCTCAGCAGAACGCATGTAGGTTGTCATGTCGGAGGGGTGTGCATAAACAATATCAGCTATGCTGACGATATGGTGCTGCTGAGCGCCTCTGTTTGCGGGTTGTCGAGGATGATTGGCATTTGTCAGCAGTATGCTGAAAAGCATGGTTTAGTTTACAACACGAAGAAAAGCGAGTGCATGGTCTTTCGGGCCAAGAAGAGATGTCCGGCTCAGATACCAAAAACAATTCTAAATGGACACCCTCTCAAGAGAGTAGATACTTTTAAATATCTTGGACATATTCTGACCTCAGACCTGGAAGACGATGCTGATATTGAGCGGGAGCGTAGGGCGCTGTCTGTTCGTGCGAATATGATAGCCCGTAGATTTGCAAGATGTTCGGAGAATGTCAAGATAACCTTGTTTAGAGCATTTTGTACGTCTTTCTATACGGGGGCTTTGTGGTTGAGTTATACGCAGAAACAGTACAGCGCTCTGCGTGTTCAATACAATAACGCGTTCAGGATGCTCTTGGGGCTGCCTCGCTTTTGTAGCGCATCGGGTATGTTTGCCAGCGCACGGGTAGACTGCTTCAACACAATCATGCGCAAGCGGTGCACGTCATTAGTGAACAGGGTGCGGGGCAGCCGCAATAGTATCCTGAGCGCCTTTGCTGAACGTTTTGACTGTCAGTACATGAACCACTGTTGTATGGTTCATGTACTGGCTAATGTGAAATTATTGTTTTGAGTTGGGAGATTATTTTAGTGATGACTGACTTGTGATTGTGACTTTTATATTGTATTATGGTTTGTAATGTGTAATTAATGATCTATGTAATTGATTGAAATAAATGGTAATAATAATAATAATAATAAATGACCTTGAAAGATATCTTTATACTCTAGGTACACTTGGGTACAATCTAGTGCTAGATGAAGTAACAAAACACATAAACCGAAGTGCCGCTGTAATGTAATGGTACGGGCCCCGGCAAATGTTGTAACTTGTTGAGGTGAATAGGGTTGTCGAACGATATAACTTGTGTTGTTTCGGTAATATCTTATGTACGGAAAGTGTTCTCGTGTTTATGAGTCTGTGTCGATGTTTCTTCTAGTTAGAAAGAATATGATGTATTAAGTTATTAATACAAGTTTTTAAGATATATTTTTGTGATAGTTATGCATTAGTGACGTTTTTATCATATTATACCTAGTATCCTATTTTACAGAATTGGTTACTATGTACAATCGACAAAGTTGGTGGTTGACCATCATTAGGCGATATTCGTATGCACTTGAAGCGAAAACAGAGCGGTAGATAGCGAGTTTCCGACAGGAATTTGTTTGAAAACTATATTACTGTAAACTTTGCCGATAGTACACTGGAAAAATTAGCTATTAAAAAAATAAACATCAGCTACTTTACTATGTACTAGGTACCAGCCCTGCCCAACATAAGTGTTTCCACGAAGCACTAATGACACAATTAGGCAGCCCTACGAATGTGCGGGGAATAATAATAGTGCAGAGGGTCAACTTTCACGACACTTTGTAACTACGCAACTGTTTTTAGAAAAAAATATGATGGTATATTTTTTTCAGGTACAAGGTTATTTTGTCAAAGGTCTGATGGAGATATAAAGTTTTACGTGTCATATTTAAGGTTTGTTTATAGGGTAAACGAGCAGACGGATCACCTGTTGGTAAGCAGTCGCCCATGGACACCTGTTACACCAGAGGTGTTACAAGTGCGTTACCGGCCTTTTGGGGATTAGGAGTTTGAGGATCGTTGGGGATTCAGGAATTGGGGGTAATTGGGCCTCCGGTAACCTCACTCCTTCACGTCGGGTTTTTGTGAGGCCGTGGTATCACTCCGGTCGAGCCGGTCAATTCGTGGTTTTCCCACACTTCAAATGTTTGGTGAATAATGTATCACCTAGCATATTTTTTAAAGTTGCGGTCACGGTCATATGATGTGGTTGCTTTATTTTGTAAAAGAATGCTCTACTTATTAAATACTTTTCAACCGATTTAAAAATAGGTTTTCAGATTGATCTATATGTATGTATGTTAGTGCGCGGTTATCTCGCAATTGGCTAAATCGTTTTTGATGCAGTTATCAGAAAATAGTGTTTGTTACACAAGGTTTTAGTATATTAATGAACCAAATTCAAAAAACAGGTTTTTGAAGTCGGTTTTCAAACCGTAGTTTATATTTTTTTGATTATTTATCTATGGTGTAAGCCCTATACAATAGACGGTGATCCCATATTATACATCCATACTCTTTTACTAATATTAATATAACCCATATGGTAATCGAAGTCCACAGATACCGGTGCCGTAACCAGTTGAATAGAGGAAAGTGACCAAATATAACTAGCCTGTACCCGCAGATGGGGATAGAAACAAAGAGACAAACAGTGTGTGTGAATTATAGTTTCTTAGTATTGCCGGTATTCCATATTAGGGATACTATTCCAAATTTAGGTACCATTATTGTCGTTTAGTTTTTTTTAATTGTTAACTCAAAAGTAATAAAAGCATGCAATTCCTGTTACAAAACAAAGCCAAAATATATAATTGTTGTAATTAACACAAAAAGTTTTATTATTTGCAACGTTTGTGAAAATTATGCGTAAGCAACAAAATGGTATTCCATATTTGGTCACTTTCCTCTACTTTCCTGAACTCTTCACTTGTACCATCTTGATCGAAGATTCTTTGAATTGCGTGTTAAAAGTAATTGTTGTGTATGGTTAGAAGATTCTCTCCGACAATTTTAAAGAGGAAATAAGCAGGAAACGTTTCATTTCCTATCTGACTTTGGAAGTAATTGAAAATCTTTTCACGAGATGTTTGCATTTCCTCTTTCCTGGCAACTTCTTAAAGGCGTTTATATTGTGTTGTGACTACTTAGGATTCAAGTAACAAAGCGAGGAGTATGTAAGGACCACTCGTCATTTTAATGTGTGTTTATTTGTTTTTTTTTTGTCTTTTTTGTAGGTCAAGTGATCGTAGGCCCTACTTCGTCTTCTTAAGAGAGTTCAAGAATCATTTGTATCTACAAAGCGGAATGGAGAAATTTAATAATCTGTACTGCAAATGCAGAGAAGCTATCACATAGTAGTATCACCCATGCCACTAAGAGCCTTCACATTTCTTATGAATAAGAAAATGGTAGTTTCTACGAACAGGATAGATGCCTATTTTTAATTTTAATGTCCGTCGGGTAGATTATTTTAAATCATTAGACACGTATTTTCTATTTTCTTACAGAAACGAATACTTTCGACGATATATTGATTTGAAATGTCGCGTGACGTCACTTCTATGTACATTTTATACATAGAAATGACGTTTTAGCCCCCACTTCTAAACTTTGATTCGTTTTATCCAAGTATTGTTTTATTATGCGACAAAATACGTGAACCATTTTATTTATTTATTAATTTTGTTTTGTCTTTGTATCTAACACACTACATGCATTTTGTTTTTATTTTCTATATTATTTGTGAAGACAAATAGGTAGGTGAGAAGTCACCTACCATCCGTGAGTCACTGCAGGGTGCCACCAGAAGATCAGCGTTGAGTGTTACCACGCTCAACATAATGCTGAGGTGGAGGCCCGTTCGACACGTGCATGCATCTATTTTTGTTAATTTTGTGATGTTTATTGTTTGTTTTAATTTTGTTTTTATTTATAACTCATTTTGTCTACATATCTGTGCATGCAATGTGTCGAATAAATGTTTTTCTTTCTTTCTTTCTAATATTTTTTCATTATTTAACTTACGGACTAATTAGATTTTTAATTTTCATACTCTGTCATCATCCCAATTCTTTAATCTATATTGATAAAGTAGAAGATATTTATTATGTAGGTACTAATAGAATGTGTCCGGAATGAGCAAGAAAGAAATGCATTGTTTAATGAACTTAGAATAATCAAGATAGATGTAGCTACATTTAATATTATTTTGTTTAAACCAATATCTCCAGAGGCTGCACTAGTTTAAAAAGGCTAGGTTATGATGGAACTACAGTAACAATTTGTTAAAAGTTCCGAAACGAACAAGGAATTTAAAAAATGCAGAGTTAATTTATAAAGAGTTATTGAGACTATAACTAGTAGATGAATGTTCTACCATTCGGCGACAAATGTTCTCCATATAAGGTATATCTATATTTGTTAATTTCGTCACGGGACATGAATGAAAGAGATTAGCAGTTCTGGGCCTTTAGCCAAATGCCACTTTAGCACTTGTCTACAGAGAGAGTAGAAAACTAAATGTATGGGGATGAGTTCCATATAATTTGGTTTTCTATTCTACATGTAGACAAGCGCTTAATGGCATTTGGTTACAGCTGCTGATATACCACTAACTTCGCTTGCAATCATTTTATCAGAGAAGGAAAGTTATTAAGATTTTTATCATTCCATTAGAACTAAAGACTGTTTTGAAGAAAAAGAAATATACTTACAGAAAGTCTTCCCCAACCACTAAGGAACAGGTCTACTCCAGCGCCTGTATCTTCAACTGGAAGTTCAATAGGTTGTACGACGTCACTAAACTTGATGTCCCGGCTAACCTTGATGAGGCTGACGTCATTCCTAATCTCAGAACTGTCATACTTCTCATGAATGAGGATGCTGTCCACGGAGTAGGAGTCTCCTCCAATCAGCCGGTTTGTCGTACCTACTACGACTAACATCGAGTATTTTGATTGGCTGTAAGGAAAATAGGTAATGTAGTATTATTGTTTTCTTTCAATTTTATAAGATTATTTCTTTCCCTTTGCTTAGTCGGACAAAGAAGGTATTACAGGGAATCCGAAATTTGTGGCTGGATATATGTATATTAAACTAGCTTTTACCCACCGCTTCGCTCGCGTCACAAAAGGATAAAAAGTAGCATATGTGACATATACTAATACACACAGCGCCATCTATACCAATACTTTTGTTTTCCCTCGGGAATATCAAATTTTTCCGAGATAAAAAGTACCCTATTAGCTAATCAGGACTTCTAACTTTACGTCTGCCAAACTTCAAAGCAATCGGTTTAGTAGTTACGGCGTGAAAGCGGAACAAACAAACTCACTTTCCAATTTATAATATTAGTAAGGATGAAATTCTATTTATATATTAATTATTGTGAGATTAGACAAAATAATTAAACCTCCGGTTTACTTTCAGCATGATGCAGAGTCCCTTTGTGCCTCGAAACTCGTAGAGCTTTTCTCATTATTTCAGGTTAGTAAACCGGTGTTTTTAATTAATATATAGGATTCTGTTCATCCCTATGGGGAATAAAAGGTGATGTTGTTTATGTTTATAAAACTCAACTAGAAAATCTTGTTCGAGACCTATTGTTATTCTATCCAGAGGCCTTAGTACGAGTGTGATTTACGTTTAAACTATTCGAAACGAGTACACGTTCAGCAATCTGATTGGCCGGCGCCAATGAACCAACCAATCAGAGCGCCGAACGCGTACTCGTTACAATTACTAACTTGTACTAAGGTTAGCGTTGCGTAAATAGAAGCGTTAAAAGTGAGCGCTTTCGTATTCTTATGGATTTGGGGCTATATATAAACCAAATACCATTTCCCCAGAAGAAAATAAATAATACCTAAGCACTGTTTATTTGATCTATAGATTAAGCCCATCTTCATGTAACCACAGAGCCAATCATAGGTATTTTAAGCGAAAAACACCTATACTTACCTACAATATATATTTTTGAAAAACATGTGTGAAAACATAAAGTTCCTCAGAAATAACTCTGTATATATAGATCTGTAATAGATTGGCAATTATGGGAGCCTTTAGCCTGGTTCAAGTACAAATATTTTACCAATATTTTCCTGTTACCTTCAGCTAAAGTTTATTACACCCGACAATATCCCACGCGTTGCCGATATTAATGTATCATTCGTTGTTTTAATTGAAGGTGTTGAAACGATGTGTGGAGGGCAAGCTATTGCTGAGAATCCTCTCAACATTATTAATATAATTAGTTTATAATTTTGCTATAGCTGAGTAAAGGCAGAATTGGAGATAAACGGAGAAAAACATCATAACGATTTCAAACTTATAATGTGAAATAATAAGTTCTGGTGTCCTTATGATTTTTCCTTCATCATATTTCATCATCAACAGCCTATATTTGGGCATCAGTGGCGACTGATGACCAAAGGCCTCTTCTCGCACGGAGAAGGTTTGAGCATTAATCACACGCTTGCTCAATGCGGGTTGGTAATTTCAAACTTATAATTAGAAATTATTATAATTAATAATGGGGATGATGACAGGGTATGAAATTTAAAAATATAATTAGTCCGTAACTTAGGTAATAAAAAAATATTAGACACGTATTTTTTTATTTTGTTGTATAATAAAACAATACTTAGATAAAACGAATCAAAGTTTAGGAGTGGGGGCTAAAACGTCATTTCTTAGTATAAAATGTACTGAGAAGTGACGTCACGCGACATTTCAAATCAATATATCTTCGAAACTATTCGTTTCCGTAAGAAAATAAAAAATACGTGTCTAATGTTTTTAAATAATCTACCAGACGGACATTAAAATAAAAATTAGTCGTCTACCCTTCACCGTTTGTCAATGGTGTCTAAATAATCTTAGAAAGTACATATAACTCGAAAAGTCACATTGGTACTTGCCGTTGGTAGGTTTCGAACTCGCATTCTCATACATGAGAAGCGGGCGTCTTAAACCTCCGGGCCACCACGACATTCTATGTCGATGATGTCTAATACAGTTTGTAAACTAGGTACGTACTAAAAGGAGTTAAGAATAGAAACGTCTGAAAATTATTATAACCTTAACTTAGGACATGATCATCATTTAAGATTTGCCAATATCCTGACGCAAGGCATATTAAGCCCTATACCAATTTATTATAGGCGATAATCGTTAATCACGTTCTTATTATACGAAGACCCTATGTGAACTGATTTACAATAAGGTTCTGTCAGGTATCGCCCACAAGTTTCCAAGCTTAGGTTCACTTCATAATATTATATTACCTATGGAACTTTAAATAATTTTACTTAGCATTTGTATCGTTTTACTACCAAACCTATGTTGACTTTATTTGTATAGTTAGTTCTGTTTATTCCTATTTAAACTGTGCTTAATCTCAAACAAGTTTTAATTTTATGGAGTCGGCAGACTATTATACATTTATTGTCACTAAGTCTTTATTTCTCGCAGGGACCTTTAGTCTTACGGTCTCTTACACATGCTTGTTCCAAGCACGAAAGCATGGTTCCATTGAGAACTAGTCACTTAGTAGCACGTGTTTCGGAATGTTGCTCAAAACTAGCATGCTCGCCGCATGTTTGCGAATCGACAGGCGTTCGATTTTTGAACATTTTTAAGCGTGATCAATGGAACGCCATTGTGCACGCTATTTTAGAGCATGTCTAACAGTACCTTTTTTTTGAAGAGGGAAAATCATCCAATGATTTCTCTCACCCGGGTGAGGCAAGAGGGAGTGTCAGACTCTTACTGACTAAATACCATCCCGTTCATACTCCTGGACTTCGAGCCGGAGCCCCGGCAACCCGTTAAGTCCTCCGCGGCTCCGGATCGGTCCTATTGAGCCCCATCTGTGGTGATCTGATGGCTCCTTGAAGCGCGTGCGGAACGCGACGCGCCGTACGCTCGGGGCTGGTTCTGATTGGGTGGCGAGTCACCCGTGCTCGCCAGTCCGCAGGCCCGTGCTTACGGTGGCCGGAGATCGTCTCGCGATGTCTAACAGTACCTAGAGCTGACTAAATGACTAGATATTTAACAGAGACCGGGAGCAACAGTCGTTTTCGATTGCGATTTTTAACCAGTCAGCTGAGAGTGGAGATTGGCAAACTATATTATGTAGTGGTGGCCTGGCCAGGCTCATCATGAGTAACGTGGAGTAACAACAGGATGGCAAGTCGGCAAAATGCCTCAGGGCCTCACCTGGAATGGGGACCCGTTCAGAGCTCTTCATCTGAACTTCTCTGTTTTATATTGGGAACGGGGGCCCATCCGATGATTTTGCCACTGGGTGATTCTGTCATTTATTATTTCGAAACTCAATCTTATTCTGCTTGTTTAAACTTATTAAAACTTTTATTTGCTCACCAATATTTTCATTTCAGTTCACGCATAATGTAATGAAAGCCCGGTTGTTTTGTACAAGATTGAATTAACTGTGTACCTCTTTGTCCTCACGAACCGGTCCATTGTTCACTTAAGTAATTATAATAATAATAAGTTGCTTATGCTTTTGTTTAGGTGACAATTCTAAGATATTCCAGCCTATCATTTAATTTGGTTAAACTGACTTCTTTCTTTGTTTGTACCTACTAATTATCAATTGACATACACATTTCATATATGTAATTGACTAAAGACGGAATGTACATGATGGTTCTTGGGCTTGTTGTGGCTGCGTGTATGACGGTCAATTATTATTATCTTAATTTGTTTAACATTGCTTGTGTGACATTCATAATTGATGATTACCTTTTTACATAATATATTTAATTTGACATTACATTTTTGACTTCAATGGTATTAATAATTTTAATTTATTTGACATACTGTATTCAATTTAACAACATTATAATTAATTAAACTGAATGTACCTAATTTTATTATATAATTCTTTTATAACATATCTTTGCATGCAAAGTGAAGGCAAAATATGGAGAAACTGTATATTTTGTTAATACCTATATTATGTACCCATGTTAGCAAACGATTAAATGAATTTGAATGAATTTGAATTTGAATAATATTATTTTTGAAAAATTGCTATTATGGACATATATGTTTTGTGATGGACATATCTTTCTATGTTCTACAAGGATTAGCAGCAGAAAGCTTTCCGCAGAGCGGAGTGGATGGAGGGTAGAACTTTGACTCACAGAGGGATAATCATGACAGACAATAACAATAAATCATCTGGCGCAAAATGAAGATATCCTTACCCAACAGTGCAATGAGCAGCTGTCAAAATCCACCGCTTATTCAGAATAGATCCGCCACAGAAGTGAGCATTGAGGATACTTCTTAAGGACGCCTGATACGGAACTCGACCTTCAGGAGCTGCTATTCCACCCACTATCCTACTTCCTGGCATGATGAATGGCCATGGCAGCTCATATGATACTTCGCCCTGCTGTAGAGGTGGTGGGACAATTGGCGCGTGTAGCACGGCACCTGCAAAAAGTCGCACACCAAAAATGTTGATTAGCGGGGCTCGTAAGACTAAAGGTATCTATCTAATCTATCTATATCTTCGCGAAGAACCTAACGGATTACCGGGGCTCCGGCTCGAAGCGCAGGAGAAGGAACGGGGTGGTTTTTAGTCAGTAAGAGTCTGACACTCCCTCCCGCCTCACCCAGGCGTGAGCAGCCATTCGATGATTTTCACCCCTTAAAAAATCTATCTATATCTATCTACATCTATATCTATACATGTAATAAAATCGTAGGAAAGTGAAAACTGTACATCGAATATGGTTTTAAAAGAATGCTTTGGGGGTGATCTACAACAGATACCGAAGCCAAAAATATAGTTTTTAGAATTTTTGTCTGTTTGTCTGCCTGTATATATGTCCGAAATGTGACTGTGTGAAAACTCATAAAGTGCTGCATGGATTTACCAAATTTTGCATGAATAGTACTGATAGGTTGGGTCAACATAAT